GGGAAAAAAAGATGGTTTTGCAACCCAGAAAATGGAAGAGTTAATGAAATACAAGATTTAAAAGCAGGCGATAGTATGGTAACATGTTGATAAAATTATAAATTTAATCTCCAAAATTGAACAGACTTTTTGGATTAAGCTGCTATAAATGACGTGTCATTTTATCATTTCCTTAACGAAATATTTACTTTATATCAAGAGAGAGTGGGAACGAACGGATGGGATGGGGTGGGGTTCCATAGATTTGGAGGATCCAATTGGGAAGAAGAATCTTTCACAAAAACAAGTGGTCTATGTCAAGTGGACCCCCAAATCCACACTGCATTTGCTTCTAACCATTCTCGCATCAGAACAAGCCTCTTTTAACATTTCTCTTCTTCCCAGGTTCGAGATTCGAATTTACAATCTTTTTTAATTGAAAATAGATATCTTAATCAATTAAGTTATGTTCAAATTGACAGTTTCTATCATTTCCTTCCGAACGACTTTTATTTTAATTAATTTTACCAACCACCGAGATCAATTGGAATCCCAAGCAAAAGTTGGCAAAGCTTTTCTTCAAATTTATTGGAAAAAGCCAAAATGAAAGAAAAATGACTCTATTTTGCTTTAGACTCCTACGGAATAAACATAATTTGTTCATTTATTTGAACAATAGATGTCCATGTAAACGAGTATTTAAAACCATATGCAATAAGTCAAATATGAGTTTCAAAATAGATCAAAATCTCCCTATAAAGAAGATCAAATCAAAATCTTGTAAAGTAGCTCAGAAAATAAATTAATAGTAATAAGTTGATTATATTACAAATTTGACCAACTTTCCAGGTTATGTCTCTAAATTTAAAATTTAAAAGGTGCGTCTAATAGATCTTTGAATTTTTAATTTTATTTTTAGTAAGTGTCTAATAAATCAATGACCTATTAAATACAAATTCAAAGTTGAGAAACATATTAAACACAAAATTTAAAGTTAAGAGATTTATTAGAAACATATTAAATACAAAATTTAAAGTTTAAAGATTTATTACACTTTTTGAAATTCTTTAAAATTCAATGACCTATTAGAAAATATATAGAGAGAGAGAGAGGCACAGTATTAAAAGTTGACTGAGTAAATAATTTGTAAAACTAAATTAAGATTTTATTTAAAAATTATATACTAAAAATGTTTTTCTTTTTTTGTTAATTGAGAGTTTAGAGTGAAAAAACGCAAAAGTGCAAGGAAAAAAAATTTAAACTAATAGTTCTTTTTTCACAAAAGAAAATTTATAAATTTCAATGGTCTAGAGTTAACATAAAGCCAATGGTCTAGAGTAAATAAAATGATGGCAAACAATNGATTTTTTCTCTCTTTTTCTAGTCGGACCAGGTTGATTTTGCTTATTTGATGGAAGCTAAGAGCCGTAAAACTGGGAGAACAGGTGGTGATTTTGAAGTAAAAACCAAAAGAAAAAAGAGAAAAAAGAAGACCACGACAAGTTCAGTGGACCAAGTCCTTTGCCCACCAGTGTCCAGATTTCTGTCATTGTTTGATATAAAAATATTTTTTTTAGTATAAATTAGGGTGAAAGATTCGAATTCATGAACTTTTGATCCGAAATAGGTACCAATATAATTATTCAAGCATTCATGTTTGAAAGTAAATTTCTAATTAGTTTGGTTAATTTAAAAAATTTCTTTAAAAAATTCTTTCCTTGTTAAAGTTTCTTAGTTACGCTTCCACATTATTAATAATTAGCACTATATTGAAAAATACAGGTCATTACACTCGTTGGAATCCGAATTTGTAAAGATTTGTAAATCAAAAATGTTTTTCAAATCATTTTCAATGTTTGGTTGAAATGATAAATTTTTTTTTTTTTAGATTTGAAATCACTTTTTAAGTCCCTAAATTTTCCATTTCATGCAGGTCGGATATGACAGGATTATAAATTAAAACGTAGCTGATTCTAACCCTACCCCACCTTATACTCGTATTTTAACAAACTTCATAAATAAATAGTCATTCAAGTAAGACTACATTTTGCCTCTCTTCTACTGACATATTTTTAGCAAAATATAGGTTGATTTTCTATTTTGCTGTGTCTTTGCTTATCAATCTTCTTTTCCTTTAATTTAAACTTTGATAACAAGGTCCAAAAATAAGATCATAATTTGATACATTTAAATTATCTCTTTGATTATTTCATGAAAGTATTTTTATAATTCTTTTTGCAAGTGCTGTGTTTTAGTAGGATATTTGTTTACCTTCCTTCCTTTTCATGAATCTTTTATCTTCCATCACGATACCTTATTTTTCAAAAAAAAAAATAATAATATAATAATAAAGGAGATGCGATGGGTTTTTTTTTTTTTAATTTTTAAAGAAAAGGTGATACGAGGTTGTTGCATAATAATAAGAAAAGAAAAACAAATAATAAGTGGGCAAATGATGAGGGAAATTTTTAGTTATAATAAAAATAATTGAATGGAGACATTCACATATATTTTTTAAAATTTTATTGGTAAGTTTTAATTTATTAAATTATTTCATATATATGCATGTATATGTAGTTTACACTATTCTTTCATATTAAAATATTTTATTATTATTATTATTACTTTTTTTTTAAAGTATAATATATGGGGTGAGTCAACCTTTTTGGATTGGAGACAATGTCAATTACGGTTGAACTATGCTCGCTTTAGCAAACATTTTATTATTATTAATCTAATATCATACTAACTTATAATGGCATAACATAGATGTTATACTTTCCATTTTCTATGAACATCCAAACAATAATTTTAATGATTTTAAATTCATTTGGTTTCGAACACAATTAGAAATTTAAAATCATTGTCATTTTTTAAAAATTCTGGATTTTAAATCATTCGTAATTCCATATGCCAAACAGATATTAGAAAACAAGAATCAATGAACGAGAATGACAATTTCCATTTTCTTTACGATATTTAAGAATGAAATCAATTGGCAGGATCTATCTCAAATTTATGAGTTTTTTTTAATACTCAATGAATTACTTTCTCTAACAATGAGTAATTTCATTCCTCTCCTAAAACTCGAGGTTGGAGAAAGGTTCGACGCTTTGACAACTATATATATCTTTCTTATTCATGACTCCCACATATTTTTAATACTCTTCTTAAACTCCATCAATCTCTGTTATTATATATCTCTCATGTATTTTTAGTAATTATTTTATAATTTTTACCATTTCTCTTAGTTCCATAACTTTTTAATTTATTGTTTTCCAATATTACTCTTTCTTTTTTTTCATTTATACTACTAATAACTTTTCTTCTAACAAAAAGTTATATCATTTTTATTATTTGACGTGATTTTATTATGAGATATTATAAATTTATTTAATCTATCAATTTTACTTTATTATTATGAATTAATATCAATTAAATTGTTAACATAGAATTCTTTAGTATTAAATATTACAACAATAAAATTTTATATAATAAAATTATATTGATTTTTTAGTTGATGTGTCTTACTTTAATGGTTAATTATTTATTAATATTAAATAAAAAAATGTTACTATAATTAAAATAGTAACAAAAAATTATAATTATTTTAATTACAAATAATATTAACACGCCATTTAATTAATGTATTTGTAATTGGTTAGAAAAATAATAAAGATTTATTCTAGTTGTTCTCTCGATAATTTTAGTAGACAACATCAATAAATTTTTTATTCCGATTTACCAAAAAAACCTAATAAACAAAATCAAGTAAATAACATTCCTATTTCAATTACTTATCAAAAAAAAAAAAACTCCAGCAAGAACCCTTTTGGTAACTATTGGTTGTTTACGGTTTCTAATTTTATTAAAAAAAAACTAAGCATTTAACACCTATTTATATTCGTTGCTTCTAATTTTATAAAAAATATTCTTAAAATTATATAGAAATTTTAGAAACAAGAAGAAATTTATCGTTTCTTGTTTCAATTTCTAATTTGTTCCAAAATATAGACTGTTGGAACCATGCAATTCTATTTTTCATTATTAAAACGAATAAACAGAAACGTTACTAATCGAGCCAAGTAAATGAAAGCCTAAACATGAAGAACGAGAGGAAGAAAAGGCAAGAGAAAGGAAAATCAATTTGAACACCAAATTGTTGTTTCTTTTGTCGAGTTCAAACCAGACCAAAGGGAGACAGAAAATTCCCACAAGGCACAAAAAAAAGGTGATGGAATGTGTAGTATCAGTTTACTTGTTTCTCCCTTTTTCTGGTATAGAATATAGAAAATCAAAGAGGTCATTTTCTCAACAAGAGTTACACAAAAATTCAACACAGTTGCTTCCTATGAATTTTCCTTCCTATAAAGTTTTAATTAATGAGCGCCACGTACTGCAATGCAATGACCCGTTAAAGGGGGGTTTTTGCCCAGTCAACTCACCCCCAAAATCTCTTCATTTTCCTCATTTACATTTCACAAGCTACCAAATCCCCAGAGTCTTTGTTTTTCTTTCTCCCCCTAAACTACGGATAGGTGGAGATTCGAACCTCCGACCTTTTAGACCAATCTATACTTTAGTCTCTTAGGCTCTAAACTTCGCATAAAAACTAGTCTCAAAGCTTGTTCCTAAACTCGATAACCAACCTATCAGTCATCAGACGTCGCTTCAGAGTATTTATCCATGCAGAAATGATCTACTATTGTCAGATGAGTAAACAAAAAACATGCACTAAATGTCAAGTTTCTCTTAAATACTTGAAAAAATTAACGATTGAATTGGTTTTTTAATGCAAAGTTCAAAAACTAGTTGTAATATTTTTTTGCTTAATTTCTTAGATCTACAGGTCGGTGTATTGACTTGTTAGGACCACCAAATCCATTTGCCAGCTACATTGAAAGAAACTTAAGACGCAACATCATCAATCAAAGCACGTAATCTACCTAGCTACCTCTCAAAGGCAAGTCTTGGTGAAAGAAACTTTCCAGAGCTTTCCTAATCTGTACAAAAGTCTAATGTTGCAAAAGAAGAGAAATGCTTGAATTATTCGTAACATAACTCATATTTCCCATTACATATGAAGAGTATTGTATAGGGGGGCACTTTCTTCACCTCTCTTAAAAACATATATAAATAGTATAGATGATTGGGGTAAAAAAAAAGAATTCAAGGACCCTCTTGCAAGCTACATACAGTTACCATTTACGGATCTACAAATGCATCAGAGCAAATTACACACCTATATGTACCTTGGGATGTCCCACGCAGCTTCGCGGCGAACGGGAGGTTGATAAATTAACTTGAATGAAACAGCAGAGGTTGATTTGTACCTTAAACGAAGCTGCTTTTGCTGACATGTGTAAACATGTTTCTCCAAAAGACCCTTTTCCTTTGAACCAAATACTTGTACTGTATTTTTGTACAGGTTATATACGTATCCTTTTAAATGCATATGTTACATCGCAAAGCATGCTTCAATTGCTTTTTATCTTGCAAGTTTCACATGTCTATACACCTGAAATGAAGCACATATATGAAAAGGCACAAATAATTAGTCACATAAGACTGCCAGTTATATAATACCAAAAATAGTCAAGTTAACTATGTCCCAGCTCCCAAAAGAAAACGTGGATTATCTAGAAGTGAATAATGATAAGATAACCGTCCAACTTATATTGTTAAAAACAGGCAAGATTATTAAATATTCTTAAATATTATATTTCTTTTCTCACCATTTCTTTGGTATATGTTTTATAGCTTTTTTTTTTTTTGCCTGATATCCGTGTGTCCGGACCAGCTTGCGCGCACCTCGAAAGGAAACTCGTAAGATATTAAATCCTAGGTAGGTGGCCATCATGGTTTGAACTCATTCCCTCTAAGTCTTTTGCTATTTACATTGGCCCTCATTGACCACTCAAGTCATCCCATGATGGTTGTTTTATAGCTTTCTTAGAAACTTGTTTCTTAACAAAATTTCAAAAACAAAACAAGTTTTTAAAAACTACTTTTTTTTCTTTTTCAATACTTTGATTTTGGCAACAGAGGAACATAGGAGGAGTGGAAGTAATGTTTATAAGCCTAATTTGAAAAAAAATAGACAACCAAAAGAAAGTTCATAGGTCAGACTACTTACATGGCTTTTTCAGCAACTTCTATAGAGCAACCTCCAAACAGAAGTTTAGCAATTTCTGGGATTTGATTCCTGGGCATCGGTGTCACTATTCTGTTGTAGAGGTGATGATGATTGTGATGGACTGTGATTCCTACCATTGCGTTGTTCATGTCTATAACTCTGAGAGGCCAAATACTCGAGTGCTGCAACAATATCACTAATAAGAGGGCGAACTGATGGTTGCTCCTGAAGACACATTGCAGTAACTGCAACTGCGTGTTGCAAACATCGAAGAGGGAAATGTCCTTCCAACAGGGGGTCAACTAATTGCACAAACTTTTTGCGGTCTTTTAGGAAAGGACGGGACTGCAAATTGAAGTAAAATGATGAAACAAATTATCCCCAGAAATCATCAGCTATTACACTCTCAACTCTCAAAATATATCTTGTATGGGAAATGTCACAACCACCAGACAAGAAGTAGAGGAAAAAAATACTCCAATTCCAATTCCAAGCAGCTACACAAAATAAAGCAAAAAAACTCTAATTCCAATCAGCAAGTTGGGAGGATCATGTAATAGGGATAAAAAAATCGTGCACATAAAACAAAATACGTGGGATTACAAGGAATAAAAAGTGGACAGATGTGGGGAAACGTAAAGAATCTTTCAGCAAATTTTTTTATTAAATTACTAACCCAAACAACTAAATTCTGCTCCCCTGGTTTCCTTGTCATATCAATTGCCTTGCGCCCTGTAATAATCTCAAGCAGAACCACACCAAAGCTGTAAATATCAGATTTAAGGGTTAATTTGCCACTCATGGCGTACTCTGGAGCACAATATCCATATGTTCCCATTACTCTGGTTGAAACGTGAGTATTGTCACCAACAGGTCCCAGTTTAGCTAGTCCAAAATCTGAAAGCTTTGGATTAAAGTCATTGTCCAGTAAGATATTTGCTGATTTCAAGTCACGGTATATGACTGGAGGATTTGCTCTACAGTGGAGATACTCAAGGCCTCGGGCAGCAGAAACTGCAATCTTAATCCTTGTATTCCAACTCAGTGGCTCTACGTCAGGACCCAAATCTGAAAGAAAGAAAATTCAACATTAACTAACTAGATTTTGCACAATTTATGACATTCTATTCTTCTTTCAGTGGATCTATGTCAACCGAAGACCTTTCTGTAATTCGAATGGATTTATTATCATAGATGAGGTTATCAACTGAATTGCACCAGGCATGATAAATTTACATATTAATCATTTGCTTTTCTAGTTATACCTGTTCATCTTCTTTTTTATTTTTTTAAACTTTCAGGTCGAAGACTAGCATAATGAACAGGATTAGAGAATTCAAAGCAGGGACTAAAAAATAAGAACAAAGGAAAAGAGAAATTCATTTATATTATTGAACTTCAAAAGCAATCCCTGTTTTAGATAAAATTTTGCAATTATGGCAGTCAAGCCTGTGAGAGCAAAAAATCTTTTTCAAAAGTAATGATCCGATAAAGGTAAAAACTTGATAAAAAAAAAAAAACAACATATAATTTTTGCCTCCAGAAATGAAGAATAAGAAGTTTAAAATTAACAAATCAGACATTTTCTTAGCTAACATAGAAAGTTTGGAGAGTTATGAGATAGTGTTATTTCTGGCATAGGACCTATTCACTCGAGAGATAAGAAAAACTATAGTTCAAAGCCATAATATCAACCATTGACTTGGAGGGGCCCAAGATGGATACAATACAGTGACTATCATTAGTATGGGCTGATACAAACTTGAAAATTTCTTGATAACCAAGAAAAAAGTTTCGAAAAAATATGTAGGACAAGATTACATCATAAGTTACCCAAAAAAAAGAAAAGTTATTTAACATAGAGATACTCACTATCTTGGTAAGAGGAAGGATATAATATTATACCTTGATCGTGCTTATGTACTGAAAAAGGTAAAATTATAATTGAAATACTATAACAAAATGTAATTAAAAAGCCAATAATGTCAAATAAAATAATAATTGACATAGAAGAAATTACAAATATGTTTGTGACTAAAATATATCAGTTGAGTTATCATTGACTTGGCTGATTCACCCAAGTCAATGGCCAACTTGCTCCAAAGTCAGACCGAGTCCAACCAGATCCCTCGCATATTTCGTGATTTTTCGTTACATGTATCCTTGGATACCAACACTAATATCTCAACTAATGACTCAGTTGAGTTTTTGAACCATGAGAAAAGCTTATGATATGATCTGGATATCCACATGTTTTGAAGAATAAAACAGACAATATAACTCAAAAAGGAAGACATATCTCGTGGGCAGAGACTAATAAAAATACAATTTCTTTTATTTTTATGAAACAAAATAGCTCTTAATTTTTAAAATGAGTTCATACAAAAATATAATGTAACAAATTTAAAAGGAATAGAGCAGACTGTAAGAAAGTGAAATTTTTACCAAAAAGATGATCTTCAAGGCTTCCCATAGGCATGTACTCATAAACCAAAAGCCTTTGATCTCCATCAGTGCAGTAACCAGTCAAGGTGACGAGATTGGGATGGTGTAACAAGCTTAACATGAGAACCTCCACAATGAATTCCTGAAAACCCTGAAGCCCTTCACGATTAAGCTGTTTAACTGCAACAATCTGCGCAGAAGAAGAAATGGCACAACTGAATCAAATGAGCCAACTAATAAAAGTTGGCAAACTAGTTCAAAAACCCCACAAGTTCTTCCTATCCATAAAGAACTTCAAAATACATAATATTTTCAACCCAAAATTATGACATGGCCATGGTAAACTGACAAACAAAATGCAATACAATCCAACTTTACTTCTCCTGTTTCCAGACGTCCTTTGTAAACGCGTCCAAAACCACCCTCTCCAAGCAAATTCACTTCCTTGAAACCTCTTGTGGCTGTGGCGAGTTCACGGAACGTGAAACTACGAGCTCGCTCACCCTTCGGAGTGATTCCACTGTTGTTCCGAGGCGCTTCTTTTCCCCTCCCTGAACCCGAACCTGAACCTGAATAGCCAGATACAAATATTAACCAAATGCGCATCCTAGAAGTAGAAATTAGACCAACATTATCAACACCAACAATGTCATTAGACTCATTACTACCTTTTACCCTTCCCCTGGGCAGAAAAATGTTTAACATTCGAAATATTATGCAGGGGAAAACAGAGAGAGAAAGAGAAGAGAAAACCTGAGGAATTAACAGAACACCCGGAATCAATTCGAACGCCATTATCGGAATCAATTCGAACACCATTATCAATTTCGACCCGGCTACCGTCTGTAGTTCGAGGATTAATACAAGAAAAGCAACTCATATCGCCAAACCCAAATCAATTAACAATAATCCCAGGCATTCCCTCGCCGCGAAAACTAAAAATCCCTCACCGAAACAGAAGGAGAAGCATCCTCCCCCTCCGGTATCGGAGAGATTAAGACAAGAAAACCCTAAGCAAGCAAGCAAACGGCGCAAAAATCCCCTCCCCCTCGAGAGAAAAAACAAAAAATCTTCAAATGCGAAGAACAAGAAAACGGGGGAGGAGATTGCAGCGGCCTAGAAAATCTGCAACGACGCAATTCGGAGAAGTGAGACCAGAGAGAAATTACAACGAACGCGTAGAGAAATACAATACAGATAAATTATTACAAGAAACAACAAAAGCTAAAAATAGATTTCGAAAAAGAAAAAAGGAACGAACGATTTAGCGCCACAGTTAGCGGAGAGTGGCTCCTGAATCAGAGCTATCTTTTTTGTTCTCTCCATTTCTTTTTTATAATCTCTGTTTTCGGGAAATAAACAACGAATGGAAAATGGAAATGAACGGTTGCGTTCGGTGGCGGTGGGCCTGATATGCCACGCCGCCGCGCCGTGTTATTCGAATTTACGATACTGCCCTCACAATATAAATTTATTTACCGGAAATGCCACTGCCCAGTTTCCATTTCTAGAGTGACAGTTTTCTTAAAAGTCAGCGTCGTCCTCGATTCACTCGCTCTCCGCCACTCGAGCTGACACTTCTTTTCTTTTTCTTTTTCTTTTAATTCATTTTTATTTATTATGATAAAAATACTTTTTTTTTTTTACTCCCAACTTGGTCTCCACTTGTAAGTGTGGAAGTGTAACTCTTATAATTTTGAAATTAGTTCTAAAAAATCTCTTAATTTTATCAAAACTTTATTTAAAAATATATATGGTATAAATAAAAATTTTCTTTTTACCCTATTTTATATTACATTTGAATTTGATTTAAATTATGTTATTTTTTAAAATTGTTATACTTTATATTATATTTAAAAATACATATTTATTTTATATTGTTTTAGGTAAATATTTTAAATTTTATTTTTTATTAATAATTTGGAGACAAATATCGCATGTCAAGTTAGATGTATGATATCATTGAACATTGTTCTAATTGGTTGTGGCATTATATTTTAAAAATTTAACGTATGATCCAAGTATAACTAAGTGGTTGAGTATTTGTATCTCATATGCTTTGTCTTTCTTTTCTATATTTTTTTCGCTTACAACATTTTTATATAACAATTTTCTATTTTTTCTTTCCAAATTTGAGCCTGGCATGTTGGCTTGATTTAGAAATAGTGAAAATGGTTCAGCTGAATGAATAGTGGTTGTTAGTTGGTTTACTATAAGTTGTATATTTATGATTCAATTCTAGCATCTAATAATGATATCGGTGGAACTTTTAACATTTAGTATTTTTTTTTATAACCTGGAATCGATATCATGTGACTTTGTTAGTTGACTCGTTACAATTAAGGGATGTCAACGACCACCCAACACTATAACTAACGTTGCAGAACTCATCTCCCAATAGAGAGAGGGGAAGCCCCGGTTACACATCCCACGAGGCTCATACCGAGGAGGAGATATCCTCTTCGACCATAAACCTACTACGCCACCACCCACGAGTGGTTTTTAATATTTAATGTTGCAGTACGTGTATTTGAATTTGTTAATAATTAATTAATAGATGAATGAGATTTAATATTATGTTATACCTGTGAATGATAAAGTTTAACAATAATTTACCTTGCATTCCAATTCTTTGAACTACAAAATTTTGATATAGATGATAGATGTAATGTGTTCATTACATCTCATGTCTCTGGCTATCACTTCATCAAGTCATGATTTGCTAGTTGTTGATTGATTGTAGAATGCTAGAGTTTTGTTTCTGATTTTGTTGTTTTTTCCTAGTCACCAACTTTTTTGCTTAGGGGAAGATTGAAGTTTTTTTTTTTTTTTTTTCTTTTTGACTTCTGGACATAGAGGACTCGAACCTAAATCTTGGGTGTAAGCCTCTCTTGCCACTGTGCCAACACTCGAGGATGGGAAGATTAAAGTTTTATTATGGTTAAAGCCTAATTGTTATTAGGTAACGAATCTTAAATTTCAACTTTATTTTGGACTTTATTAAAAGTAAATGTAAGTTAAAATGAAGGTTTGATTAGTAAAATATTATATATTTGTATACACATTATTTTGTATTGCTGGGTAATATATTTTCTCCTTCATGTTTATTTTTATAGCAAATCTAAAAAAATATTTGATTATTTAGCATATATATATATATAAATAAAGTAGCACATGTAAGAGGTGACACACATCATTTCTCTAAGTTATCATATCATGTGTGTAGTCTAAATCATCAATGTTAGAATTGACTTTATTTCCCACTTTATAGTTATTTTTCAAACTTCCATCAAATATTTGGCTGGCAGTTTTGATGGATCTAAACTGATAAAAGCTGAAAGTTTGGGAAGCATAAGTTTGTACCCTTATCTTGTCTCTAAAAAGTCTAAAGCCAACATATGCGACAAAAAAAGAATATATAATAATAAATAAATAGAAAATAATTTATCTACCGTAGATAAGATAAGTCACCCTTATTATCACTCAACTGAACACAACAGAGCTTCGAAGGGAGATGGCCTTTCACACATTAGAAGGACGGTAAAGGAAATTAACGAGGAAGAGACTTGACGGTGAGGTTCACAAAAAGTGGAGAGAAAGTGAGAAGAAGGAGGAGTGGGAAGGAGAGAGGAACTTCCACCTCATGTTCTAGTCACCAAAAATTAATATTAAAATTTCAAAGTCAATGAAGTAGAGTCAACGCCACATCATCTTTTCATTAGTCAACTGACACTCAAACGAGAATTATTTAGAATAATTTGAATTATTTAGAATAATTTTCTAAATCTCAAATACGTAACCAAATAAAATACTTAATTCAAACTTCAAATATGCATTTTGTCGAATTTAAAAAAAGGTAGATTATAAATTCGAGCTAAAATAATTACATGTGGGATTAACAAATTTACCCAACCGCACACGATTAATAAACTTACCCTCAAAAGAAATATCATATTTTTCACTACACAAGATCCTTCTCTAAATGATGACAACTAAAAGATATATGTTTTTCTTCCTGGTTTAAAAAATAATAACAAAAGTAAAAACATATTGAAAAATATAAGAAAGAAAGAGATTGGGGAATGAATTAATAATAATATAAAGGGAAATTAGACAAGGTGAATCTAGGGTAGATTATTCACTCAAGCAAGCAAATTGAATAAAGAAAGGAGGGAGATAGTGAAAAAATTGAGTTGAATAATGATAGAGAAAGGAGGGAGATAGTGAAAAAATTGAGTTGAATAATGATAGAGAAAGGAGGGAGATAGTGAAAAAATTGAGTTGAATAATGATAGAAGGAATTTCAATCATCATTTTAGTTAACATTCACACACCTACTCCCACCCATCTTTCACTAAAAGATCCTTCCTCCATCTAATGATGCTTTCTAAGATCTCACCACTATCAACGTGGATATTTTGTAAAACCTTTATTCAATTCTCCGGTCATTTTTCATTACAACCGTACCTTCTCTCGTACTATTGTAGACTCGATAGTAGAGATTTCTTAACATTTTTTTCGAGTACAACATGTGGGGGTGGAGGATCGAACTCACAACCTCTTGGTTGGAGATATATGCCAATTACCGTTGAGCTATTTCACTTGGATAGATTTCTTAACATTTTAGTTTGTTTTATGTTCTTTATAATTCCATATCAGAAACATGCATTTTCTCTCCGTTTAAAACTCTTGAAAACAACAATAACTTTAAAAATTCAACAACTTCTTCTAGTCTACTCAGACTACCAGATAGTAACTAACCAAAATTCCTCTTGCGGTAACTGTATCAAAAGGAGCGTTTCCCTTTGGTGAGAGAGACACTCTTTTTTCACATAAATTATCTTACTCAAAAGATGGTCATGCAATCATGATCGAACGGAAAAACTATAAAATTTTACGAGTAAATTGCAAAAATTATTCAAATGGAAGCCCACAAGACTTGGATGCATGACTTTGCAATAAGTGTGTTAGGCTTGATTGTGTGAGAGCAAAGCCTGTTGTACCAGACTGAGCTTGAACATCCTATTCTTATTTCCAAAAGGAAAAAAAAATAATAATAATAAGCAAACAAAGGAGGAAACCACATTTCACACTATAGATCAAAAGATCAAATAGATAAATTACAAAACTTAATATAAGTTTGAGTGTCTTTACTCAAATCATGCGTTAATATTATTGACTAAATGACATGTCTATTAAACAACCTATTAATTGATTTGACACAACATAACAGATGAATGATAGAAAGAAATAGACAAACGGACAAAATAGAGTAACATGGTCAAATATAAAATAAACTATATATGTTGCTTGAAATTGTATGTGTCATTTTATTTTGTCCGCCTATCAATTTTTTTCTACCATGATATGAAATGGGTTCTCGAATCACCCAATAATGGTTCAATTAATTTGTTGATGTTAACCATACGACTAAAGTTGGAAAATAATTAAAATCTTTGGAGATTAAATAGACACCCCATTAAAGTTAAAATTACTAAGTTTATATAATAATAATAATAATAATAAAGAAAAAAATATATAACTGAATTCATTTGCAACCTAAACAAACCCACAGAAGCAAATTTTATTCTCACAATCTAAAGATCAACATAGCTCAATTAATCGAGATATTAGATTCTAGCGAACAAAATCAAACCAACTCTTCTTAAAAACTACTAGATCAATCGATTTGGTTCAGTTTAATGATTATAAAGGATAGATAAAGTTTACCAGAGTTGTTATTTAGGATTAGCCAATCACCTGTAACAAAGAAAGGAGTGGAAGTAAAAAATAATCAAATATTAGATAGGGTGAGCTTCGAAGACCTTCTTATTTAAATACTTTTTTTGAAAAAAAGAATAAAATACATGTATTTGGTTACATTTTTCTCAAAAATGATTATACGGCACAATATCTCAAAGTAATTCTACAAATGTCGTCAAAACGATCATAGTTAAGTGATAATTGGCATATATACATCCAACGTTGTGAGTTCGAATTCCCTCTCCAACTTGCTGTTAACGGGGCGGGACGGGTCCGGGGAACCATCCCTATCCCCGCCCCGTTGGGGATTTTTTCCTGTCCCCGTTATAATTTTTTTTTAATTTTTTAATTAATTTTTGTTACGACTAGTATAAAGAGTGAACAAAAACTGGCTAAATGGAATATTAGCTTCAGTCTTTTTTTTTTAATTTAAAAAGTATTTATAAAATTAATATATATTAATATTATTATATAAACAATAGAAAAAGTAATAAAATATTAAACGGGGCGAGGATGGGGATGGGACGGGGAATCCTCCCTCCAGTCAAACCAGGGATTCCTCGACTCGATTGGGTCAGGTACCTGCGAGGATCGGGTACCGCGGATTTTTTTGCCATCCCTAGTGATGGAAGAAGTGGTTTTGAAAAAAAGATTTAATATAATTTATTTTCTAAAAAATCATCATCCAATTGATACTCTACAAATAAATTTAAAGTGATTTCAAACTTCATAAAATCAAATTTTTAATTGGCATGAATAGAACGGAAAATCATTTTGACAATAGCAAAAAGTAATTTTGACCATGCCAAAATCATTCCCAAACAAATCATAAGATATCATAGTCATTCCATCTTGAAAAGAGAAGCAGCCTGGTCCCGGAGTTCTCGGAGCTGAAGTTTCTTAGCACGTAGTGCCAATAGTCTCCTTTTTTGTCCCACCGAATAAAGATTGAATCCTTGTCTTCGACAGTTTTTACCCGGGGAGGCGGCCGAAACTCTTTTTTCTTGAAACCAGAGGACGAGCAGCGRTACCAGGGATCACTTTTGGCCCTCCAAAATCACTCTAAATAGCTTGAAATTCTAGAATGATGACATATTTGATAATATTTCCATTTATTATTTCTCATTTCTAATTTTATTGAAAAATTTAAGTATTTATCACTTATATCTCTTGTTTCGCACTCTTTTATAAACATTTTATAAACATACTCAAGATTGTACAGGAATATTGTTGTTTCTCAATAGGAAACAAGAAGCAAAAAAAACTAAATTACTATTGGAAAGAGGAAACAAAAAAAAGCAGGAATGTTGCTTGACAAGCTCTAAATTTCTTCTCAATTGCCTAATTCGAATCATATTGTAACATAATTCTGTCACCACTTTTTATTTTAATATGAACACAACTTTTCATATGAAAAGTACAAAAGAAATGGCAATCCGCAACTAAATTTCTTCTCCCTTTATTGCCTAATTCGAATCAAGTAATATGATACAAAAAATAATCATATTTACAGAAGAATTTTGAGAGTGCACCAACTAGACGGCCACAAGTTTAGGTAAGTCTCAAGAGTCTTCCAAAATCTGATACTTCAGCTTTGAAGATAAGATTGTTCTTTGGCAATCAAATTTCTAGTGGATAGACGTTACTACATGAAACCAGAAAATCAAAGCTTTCTTGGAACACCATGCAAGAAATTTGGTGAAGGTTGTTCCTTCCTAGAGCTCCCAAAAGGCTGCAAACAAATCCAAAGTTCATAAGGTTACATCAAGATATGTAGGCATAAGGGCAGTCGATAAAAATGCGTCTAACTCTTAATTTCCCTTGCATAGAACAATTTAAAGACACAAATCTCCTGCAGATCACTATTATATTTTTCACAAGTAAAAAGGATGAAAATGCGGGTTGGGGTAAGTGTTGTTATATTGAGGGATCCCTTTTTCTTTTTTAACTTTCTCAGCTGTGTTTCAACCATCAGAGGCAAGGTCAAAAAGCGAAATTTTACCTCAGGTTTTCTGTTATGAATAGCCTTGGTTATCTCCTCTTTCAAAGCAGAATCCAAGGACAGTCGGCTTATGAAACACAGACTTGCACAAAAAACTCCCAACGAAGCAAGCATCCGGCTCCAAGAATCTGATGTGAAAATTCTCCAAGGGTATTGTAAAAGAATTTACTCCGTTTCAAGTCCGTAAGATTCCATCAGAAGGGAATTATCCAGCAACCTGCAGCCTCATCCCAACAACAATTCAGATGTGACTTAGTTCATGGAAAGAACAAAAAATATAGAAAATGCATTATCGCTTCTTCAAATAAAAAGTTAAGCAGACGTTGTATTGTAATTCATAATTAGTATCAAATCAGTAAATGATTATTATGCCCACCAACACCGTACTGACTTGTTTGGCTTGCAAAAATTTTGTGATGTGGAAGCTGGTTTAGGCTAAAAGATGCGAAGAACCTCCGTCTGAAACTTTGAGCATCTTCTTCGTCCCATCAGAGTGAAACTACATATAATTGTAAATCGYCAACAGGCTCTACAGAAGTAAATCATATATATACCATTTGTAGAAATTTGAAACCTATATATGTTTCCTAATCCATGTTTGGTGTTTTTATGTTAGTTGTAAAACGWCAATGTACGGGGACAATAAACAACCCTCTCTCTTAAATTGAAATCTGAAGTGAACTTCAATGTTCCAGAAAAGATAATTTCATACATTCTCTGAAATGTTCAAACTTTTCAGTTATCAATTTTCGTGCCAAATGCTAAAGTGAAAAATCACATGCTTTTAAAAGGGCGCCATGTTAGTACTACCTATTTCATAGAGTCCTGAAGTTGCATTCTCCTTTCAGTTACTTCTGACTTTCTCCATCCTTGATTTCTCCATTTTCAGCATGCCCTGTCTCTCCCATTAGCTCTTCGCCTATTAGCCTGGAACAAGTCTGTCCACATGAATAAATATTAAGTTGCAATCACAATAGAAGATTTTGTTCCATTTTCACTCATACAAGAAGCAATTTCTAATTATTTTTTCATGTTAAATGCTCAATGATGCACGCAACATCTATCCTTCTGGTCTAGAAATGAATGGTTATACCATCTTATTTATAAAATTATTAGTCTCAGGACACTTCATGTTTACAGTTCACAGTAATTAAATGCAAACTAAATGGATCTCTCTCATACATATTTTAATTATAAAACGTTGAATGTTAAAATCTTTTTTTTTTCTGAGTCCCTTCTTTCACTACTATAATTTAGTTCTCTTCTACTTCAACCACAGCTGCACCAGGGTTCTTCCTTACATTGCTCCTGAAATAATGCGACCTAGGCTGAACCACACCATTGCAACCAGGATGAATCGAGTAATTTGACATTCAGTGGGGCAGGCAAGTGTACATACTCGCGTAGTATCTAAGACAAGCATATACATGGTATGCGAGAAAGCCAACCACATTTCCAGTTAGAAGTTTGCTGTTTGAAAAAATTGCCAAGTTTCCCGCAATATTGTATCATAACTGACCAAAGAACTCAGGAAGTTCAAACTCTGCACAAACAAAAGCACATTAGTTACTTTTGCTTTCTTCTTGTTTTGCTTTTCTCTCTCTCTCTCTCTCTCTCTCTCTCTCTTTTTTAATAGGAAACTTGAGATATGTATTAATCACACAAAAAAGGAACAAGCTACAGGCAGGGGTAGAGGAAACCATCCCAAAGGACAGTTACTTTTGCTTTTAAGGAAAGCTTCCATACAATCCAACATCGACAGGGACTTCTTGACACATCCAATGTAACATCCACATTTATTTTGCATGTATTGAAGAGTTTCCACATTGCACAACTTGATATGCGAATTTTTAAATCCATCCTCTATAAATAGGGATTTCCCTAGTTCTGGCATGTTTTTCACTGTCACACACTTCAATTTCAAATAAAATTGTCCAAGAGTGCACCAACCTTTATTTGAGCAAAGAAGCCTAACCTGTTCTTTACTATCATGAAAGGACATGTAGGGTTCAAACAGGTTCAACTTACAGCTCAGGTTCAGGCTATCCCATTTGTTTGTTAACAGATAGGTGGTTCATCATGGAAGCACTTTTCTGGTTAAAAAACCTGATTCTTTTTAGGTTTAGCCTCCTTAAGGGAGTTGTGTTCAATTTATAAATTATTAAGGATAGCTTTGGCATACGTTTATGTAATTCATGTCAAATATAACAAACCTTGATCCCGAAAAAAAAAAACTAAGTTTTAGAATTACTTTCGCCTCATTGTACTCCAGATGGTCTAATTTTTTAGAATTTCTGTAATTTTCTTTTCCTCATTAGACGAGATCTCATCATCTTCCTCTTATATTGTTCCTCTTATAAATATATTGTTTTTTACCATCTCAGAAAAAACATGCCAGATAGTTTTATCCAGCCTGTTACTTTGGTATTATCATTTCACCTCTCTGAAGGGAAGATTAATTTAGCATTGAATCCCCTAAAATAGGTTAGGCTAACCTTGAAGTGATATATTCATTGTGTAGTATATTTATGTGTAAAATCAAGTGAAAAGCATTTCTGTATGCTTTTCAAATGGAGAGCAACCAAACTTCACAAGAGTAGACGCTCATAACTCAAGAAGCAAACTTCTAAGGATGAGAAGATGAACCTTCTAAATGAGATCAAGGAGAGCTTGATTATCAAAAAGTAGCATGCCAGCTTCAATCAATCTCCTCTTCATATTCTTCTAGATCTGCCTTGAAGAGGTGCTAAACATCATCATGACATTCAAAGTTTACATTGAAAGAAATAAAGGAGTGAGGAATACCTGGTTGAAAAGTATGGCAGCTTAACATTTTGTATAATTGATGCATAATTGCTCAGAACTGCACAACAAGAAGAATAAGCTTAGTCAAAATAATTTTATTACTTCTCAGTTTAACTCAAAAATAGTAACTTCTCTAATGTTACCTACTCTTTATAATAAAACCAATTTTGAAATAAATAAACTTAAAAAGTCTTAAGCTTGCTTATGGACATCAAATCAACAAAGTATATGAAAACGGCACAATGGTCTACAATTTTGCATGTGCATTCTGCATGTGAATGTCAGTCAATTTCCAATTCAAATTTATTACAAACATCACGTGATGTAGTTATAGTTCCCTCTTTGGCTGCCCTTTCTTTTATTAGTCATAACTCATAAGCTTGTTCACGTGGCTTATATGTTGTGATTCTCTTAAGTTTTCCTTCCATTGCTCGTTCAGAATCCTCTATATATAGGCTTCTCATTCATTAATAAGACGTAGATTAAATCATTTCTCAAAATCCTTGTGAGGAGCTACATTATCACATCTGGCTTCAATGCTTTTAATATGATACATGTCAAGTAGCTCAATCAGAAAACTTAAGCAAATACCTTTTCCAATATAAACAAAGTAAATAAGAACTATGAACTAAACCTCATAAAGATGGATTGGAGACTACCTAAATACCACATACAAAGAACACAGGCAGGATAGGGAACGCAAGCATGCATAACCCAAACATTATGGTATGGTATTTCCTAACCTAGGATATGGTCAGAAAAGGATAATGAATTATATTTCATTACCATATATGGAAGAAATAAATGTACCATACTAAAAGAATATGATTATAAATTTTTATGTGTATGCCATACTACATTCCAATAATTTTGATGCACTAAATTTTTCGTTCAATATACAACTCATATATAATAGACAACGTCTATTGATGAGAAGTTGAAGTAAACTCCAAATTTTTAAATAAGGTAGTTTCTTATAACAAAGGTTTATGAAGAACTATAAAACCAAATGAACATATTTTTCAAGGGATTTAATGAGCTAAATCAAAGAAAATTCAAAATTAATTACAACCTAAGAAGCTTGGACACTTCATATTGAGCAATGTTGAATAGGCCATACATGAAGCCCTGTTATTCAAAATTTCTAGGTTTTTAGTTCATTTTATAATTTTGAACACGTTGGGACAGTGCATGGGACACTCAAAATGTTAGAGGATGACATGCTTTTAGAGAAAAATAAAGAAAAATAATAATAAAAAAATAACAGTTCTTTCATCAAGTCTAGGAATATTACATTTAAAGAATTTTTTTTGGATAAGAAAACGATTCTTTAAGAGATAAAAAGAACAAACGAACAGCCTAAAGGACAAGGGCCAAGGAGGCCCCTTCCCAAAAAAAACTAGCAAAGCAAACCTCTACATTTTAAAGAAATAAAATAATAATAATAATAAAAAAACCTTGTAAAGACATAAAATGAAACATAAAACCCATACAAACTAATAAAGATAGAAAAAGAAGAGCAGAAAATCTTCACTTGATAAAAACCAATGAAGTGATGCAAGATGTGACAAAAGACAATTATGATATATTGCCCTCCAAAGTATCAACACTTCTTTTTTTTCTTTTTTTGATAAGAAACATGTGTATATATTACTCACAAAAAAGAGGTACAGCACTTCGATACAAGTCTAAAGGAGAAACGTTCTTGCACTCTTCCTCCCCAAATCTATTTCAATTGCTGAAGAAGTGACAGAAGACAATGCTAAATTGTTTGGAATACTTGTGGTTGTGGTAGGGAAATATTTGGAATGTTATTAGATATTAGGACATAACTAGTCATTTACTACTTAAAAAAAAAAAAAAACTGGTCATTTGCCTAGTTAATTGAAAGGTTATAAATTATCAGTTAGAGGTATTCATTTAATTTTTTTTTTTTTTAAAAGAAACGAACTTTTCATTGATAAATGGAAAGGAACAAACATTGATCAAAGATACAAACTCTTTACAAACTCTCGAAAGAGTGAAGAAACAAAGAGAAAAAAAACAAAGAAAAACAAAAACAAAGCTAAAGCCAAAGCCAAAGAAAATAACAATCAAGAGGGGAAAATGAAAGCTCCCCAGTTGGCATTGGTTGAGACAGAGTAGCTTCCAAAAAAAGATCTGAAAGAGAGCACCAATGAAAGCTTGAAATTCGCCTTCTATGTTTATGCCAATCAAAGAGGTCTTAACCAAATTTATGCGGAGACCCGAGCCTTCAATGAAAGTGGAGATGAGACCCTACAATTTTCGATGTTTCCTTTGTAACCTGGGCAAAAAACGATCGTATCATCCGCATACTAAAGATGAGACACCACCTTATCTCTTCCTACTTCAAATCCACATAATAGCCCTCTTCTCACAACAGTAATTAACTAGCCGACTAAAGGAATTGCCAATCAGGGTGAAAAGGAAGGGGGAGAGAGGGTCTCCTTGTCTCAACCCCTTTTTGCTTRAATCTTCCCGCGGGGCCGATCATTAATGGAGATTGAGAAGTTAGCTATCGATAAGCAACCTCTGATCCACCTACGCCGCCTGTGCCCAAAACCCTTTTTCAACAGAACCTCGTCCAGGTACTACCAGTTCACCATGTCGTCGGTAGGGTTTTATTGCTTTGGATCGAAATAAAAAACAAAATTTTTAGAGGTTACTTCCTTTTCGTTGTAACTTTTAGGAAATTGTACGACTCTCTTTCTTTTCCTTTTGGATAAGAAACAAAAAAAAGATGTATACTCAAAGCGAAAACCAAAGGATAATCTAAGGGCTTGGGACAAGAAGAGCCCATCCAAAAATTAACTAAATACAAAAGGAGAGTATTCCCATATGAAATAATTATCATAGACTATGATTACAATAGAATTTTCTATGATTTGAATACTTCCAAGAAGCACTGTGCTATGCAATACTACAAAAAATGTCCAAAGAAATGTTCAAAGGAGAGGACTTGTCTTCAAAAGTTCTCTTGTTTTCTAAACAGGGCTCTCGCTGCAAAATTCCACACAATCGTAGCTTTTCCCTTTAATTTCCAACCACCGAGACCTTTTAGGACGGCACACTAAAAGATTCATCTTGTTATGAATGAAAGACCACTCACGATAAGCAAAAGAACATTACACGGAAAAATGGTCTAGTGACTCCCCATCTTCAGAACAAAGACAGCAAACCTATGGGGATAAAGCCCAATTTGAAATTTTCCTTTGAAGTTTCTTGACATTGTTCTTCAATCAAGACATAATCTCTATCCTCAATCAAGACATCAGAAAGTTTCTTGACATTGTTTTTCTTGTTGCTTCTAGTCAGAGCTCCCAGATAGGAACCATAATTCTTACTCTGATTACTATTGCTGATGGGATAGCCTTTATGTAGCCTCCTCCTTCAGCATTGACTGAGGTGATGCCTTATCCCCATTTCCACCTTTTTAATACTTATGTTTAATACAAAGTTTGTTTTCTATCCAAAGAAAAGATAATGAATTATATTCATAAACATGCTAAAAAATGAGCAGAGTTTTTTTATTCAAAACTGAACTTATCCTAACATCTTTTCATATGATTTTTTTAATGAAAATCCAAACTTTTATTGAGAAACATGAAAAGAAAAAATACAAGGGCACACAAAAAGACCGCCCTTTAAAAAGGAGTTCTAGAATTACCTACGCATAAATAGACTCCAATCCAAAAGAATAACATCACACCAATGTTTTAAAAAGCTTGAGGCACACTAAAGCGCAATAGACCTCTGGAGCTTAAGCTCGAGGCGCGAAAAAAAGCGAAAGCGCAGGCTTTTTTTCGCAAGGCGCACTATATATAAAGATAAATAAAAATATATCTATACACATATATAACATATAAAAGCCAAATAATATCCAAAGTTCAAACATTATAAAGAGAAAAAGAGAAAGAGAAGAGGTTGAGAAATCACAGAGATGGAAAGTTGTTGTGTGGAGGTTTTGTTACAAGAAAAAATATTTCCTTCCATGTGAAGGAAGAGAGAAAAATCACAGAATATTAAAGGGATTCACGTAAATGAGGGAGAGAAAATTGAAAAGATTATGGAAAGATTGAGATCCTTTCCAAAAATAAAGGAAAATATTGGAAATTTAAAAGATTCACGTAAATGTAGGGAGAGAAAATTGAAAAGATTATGGAATCTTTTCCAAAAATAAAGGAAAAGATTGGAAATTTAAAAGATAATGGGCTTTGCGCCCATTTTGAGATTAAAAAAACAACCTAAATGCAAGCTAAATTACGTTTTTTTTTAGTTGTACAGAAGCCCCGGAAGCCTGAAGCACTGCGCTTTGCGCTTCGGGGGCTTCAAAGGAGGAGCGCCCTTAAGGCGCACCTCCTTCATTTCGCCTCGCCTTTTCAAGACGAGGCACAGGCATTGCGCCTAGCGCCTAGGCATGCGCCCAGGCGCGCTTTTTAAAACATTGCATCTAACTGATAATTACAAAACAGTTCAGTCACCGAAGCCCACARTAAATATGCAATGTCCATGTGCCTTCAATTAAAAAGTGGGAGAAATCTCATGGAAGACCTCAAACTCGAAGCATGAGGAGTTTCAACTCCCTTATTTCTGAGTTAAAGCTTACAGATATCCCCTTAGCTAATGGGAGCTATACCTGGTCAGGAATGAATCAACAAGGCACTCTCTCCTTGCTGGATCGTTTTCTTGTGGCTGAGGATTGCATCACAAAGTTTGGCCTCCCAAACGCTCAAAGAATGGATCGTGTTACTTCAGACCAATACCCTATTCTCTTGAACTTTGGAGGTCTTAGCTGGAGCTCCACACCCTTCAGATTCGAAAACATGTGGCTCGCACACAAACCCTTTTTACCTTTCCTCCAATCATGGTGGACCTCTACCCCTCTCCAAGGCTGTCCCGATCATGGCCTTATGATGAAACTTATACAGCTGAAGTTTGCATTAAAAGAGTGGAACGAAGACCACTTTGGCTGCATCCACAATTAAAAAACAAGCATCATTTCTGACCTAAAAGCTATTGATTCCAAGGAGGATATTGGCCCGCTCTCACAACAACAGATTGATAGCAGGATAAACATTAAAGACCAACTCCTCTCTTTAGCAGTCAAAGAAGAATCCTACTGGAGACAGAAATGCAAACAAATATGGTACTTGAGGGAGACGAGAACTCGGGTTTCTTCCACCGAATCTTAGCTACGAAGAAAAGGCAAGGCACTATTTCTGAAATTCTTTCTTTTCAGGGACATAGCCTTCTACAAGACAGTGAAATTGAGGCTGAATTTTTATCCTTTTACAAGAGCCTATATTCTTGGAGGCAAGACCAAAGGTTTTTACCGGGTAACATTCAATGGAATCCTAAACCAGGAGACCAAAGCCAATCTCTCGAAGCTGCATTCTTAGAAGAGGAAATTCATATAGCTGTGCTAAGTCTTGGATCAAACAGAACTCCTGGCCTCGGATGGCTTCACTGCAGAATTTTTCAAAAAATCATGGAACATTATCAAATCAGATAGGCAGTGTTCCAAGATTTTTTCAAAAACGGCATCATYAACGCCAGCCTCAATGAGCCTTACATTTGTCTCATTCCAAAGAAAAGGGTTGCCAAGATGGTTCATGATTACAGACCTATTAGCCTCATTCCATGTGCCTACCAAATCATTGCGAGAGTCCTTGTTAAAAGGTTGAAAAGGGTCCTCCTTCTCACTATTACAGAAAATCAATTTGCCTTTGAGGAAGGCCGACAAATTCTGGATGCTAGCTTAATTGCCAATGAGATTATTGATGATTGGAAAGCGAACAGGAGTAAAGGGCTTGTTCTTAAACTGGAACTCGAGAAAGCATTTGATAAAGTCGATTGGGACTTCCTAATCGTCATTCTCAAGGCCAAAGGTTCTGGAGAAAAATGGAGGCAATGGATATATCCATGCATGTCAACCACAAACTTCGCAATTATCATTAACGGGAAGCCTAGAGGCAAATTCACAGCATCTCGAGGACTTAGACAAGGGGATCCCCTTTTACCCTCCCTCTTCATTCTAGTAATGGACCGTCTTAGCCGTCTTCTTCATCATGGATCCATTGAGAGACATCTATCGGGTTATTCCAAGGATGGTTCTTTCCATATCAACCACCTTCAGTTTGCAGCAGACGATACGCTTGTCTTCTCCTCTGCTGAGCCCATACACATCAGAAACTTAGCCACAACTATTAAAATCTTTGAGGAAGCTTCTGGCTTTAATATAAATTTACAACAAATCAGAGATTTTGGGCATAAACAGTGAGGAATCTTCTCTCTCAGATGCTGCTTCCATTTTTTCTTGTCGCATTGGCACTTGGCCATCAGTCTATGTCTACCTTGGCCTTCCCCTAAATGGCAGGTACAAATCTTTGTCTTTCTGGCACACTATTATTGAGAGAGTGGAGAATAAGCTACAGAAATGGGTTACTCTAATCCAAGCTGTACTCTCCAACCTCCCAACATACTACCTCTCCCTTCTTGAAATTCCAAAGGGAGCTGCCAATTTACTGGAGAGAATTCTTAGAAATTTCCTTTGGGAAGGCCCTAAGTTGGGTGGTAATCTACACCTTGTGAACTGGAGAAAAGTCCAGCTCCCTATTGATCAAGTCGGTTTGGGTATAGACAGTATATTGCATCGGAACCAAGCTCCACTTACAAAGTGGGTTTGGAGATACTTAGCAGAAAAATCCAGTCTCTGGACAAAATTGACTGGGGCAAAATATTTTTTTTTATATGAAACAATATTTCATTGATGATATGAAATATACAAAAGGCCCTGAAAAGGCAATTACAAGAAAGCTCTCAAACTTGTAATAAGATCATTAAGAGAGTAATTGTTGAGGGGGTAGAAACATTTACACCAACCCAAAGCTAAAACAAGAACTCTATCAAAAAAAATTTCAAATGAGAGGGTTTTGTCCTTGAACACCCTTCCATTCCTTTCTAAGGAAGGCGCGAACGATTTGAACCCATAGGATAGCTTTGCCATTCCTGAAAGGGTGGCCCACCAGAATGTTGTCCAGAAGAATATGTGGTTGATCGTGCTTTGGCCAAATCATCCATATAGAATCTACAAAGGCCCTTTGGTTGGCATATCCAAGTTATCAGCAACGTGAAAAATAGAGTCCTTTGTAAAATTGGCAGTGGTAGATTGGCTAGCTTCTGGAATGACAAATGAGCATCAAACACCTCCTTGGGAGAGGACTTCCCCCCAGCTTCACTCGCTCTCTACAAAGAAAGATGCAAAGGTTAGCGAGATATGGGATCAATCCACAGCTTCATGGATTTACCATTTCCGTAGACCGCTCAAAGAGGAGGAGCTAGCAGAATGGCTTGATCTTGAACACAGAATCTCGGTTATTCACCTCTCTCATAGGAAAGACAAATGGATTTGGCCAATTGATCCCATGCAAACTTATGGTCCCTCCTCAAACACCTCTCAGCTGCGCAACACTCTTTTCCCCCTTGTCTTTTGAGCACATTTGAGCAGAAAAGTATCCTAGGAAAGTTAAGTATTTTTGCTGGGAGCTTAGTCACAAGGCCATTAACACCCAAGACAGATTACAGAGAAGACTCCCAATGATGGCTTTATCACCAAATGGGTGTATAATGTGCCTCAAGGAAGCAGAATCACAAGACCACCTTTTTATCACCTGTGAATTTGCAAACAGCTTTTCGATTTCCATCTTTGAATCTTTTGATTGGCAAACCCTTCTACATGCCAATATAAACACTCTATTACAAGCAACCTTGGGGGTACACCCTTACAAGAAGAACAAGAAAATTATGTGGTCACTCATCGTCAGAGCTTTTTGTGGAACTTATGGAGAGAAAGGAACAACAGAATCTTTAACAACAACTACAAGTCCCAGCCATTCGACAACTTCTTTAATGGGGTTTTGCTTTTAACTCTTAGCTGGTGTAAAAGTTTATTTTCTTCTTTCTTTAGCTATAGCCTTAATGATCTCATGAGGAATTAGAGAGCTCTTTTGTAACTCCGTTTTCTCCTTTTGTACATTTCATGTCATCAATGAAATATGTGTTCCTCATCAAAATAAAAATAAAAAAAATTAAAAAGTGAGACTAATCTTCTAAAAAAAATTATAAAAAAATGTGAAACTGACAATCCAGTTTAAGGGTTTTTGACAAGTGTGTCAAAATGTCAAGGTGTTCAATACATTAAGGATATGGAAACATTAACCAGTTTATATTATCCATACTACATATACAAAAATAATCTCTATATCATGAGAAAGACGAATGACAGGAGTTATTATCTTAATGTTATGTCAATAATCATATTGCAGTAGATCTTGTCTTCGTSGCAGACTCTCCAAAGATAAAATAACACCTTAACTCTATAAAATCGACAAATAAACAAGAATTTAACCCTATAAAATAAATTCCCTTAGAAACATTTTATTGATTGAAATGTACAGAAGGTGTAAACAACCTCTAAGCCAAGAAAATTAAAAAAAGGCTCTCGGAAAAATAAAAGTTGTTAACCAGTTACTGGGAGAAGAAGGTTTAAAAGAAAAACAATCTAAAGTATTTTAAACATATAAAAGAATACATAAAATGAAAAGAGAGTAAAAGAGCTTGCCTTCCAGTTGTCGCTGAAGTTTTACTTATTAAGGTGCTATTGCCATGATATGATACCATAAGATCCCGAATGCGCACCCTTCACKGAGCAACATCACCTTCAATCATCAGAGAAGTTAGTTGCAAAGGTGATAATGTATCTAGAGGGCAAGTGGGTAATGAATTTTCAGTTCATCAGTTGACGCAACTGAGAGTCAAAATAGGGTTGTCCTCCTTCATTCCACAAATAACTAATCAATATCATGAATTCCATCAAAACCTTCAATCAACATACTATATGTCTTGGGATGAATTTGGCAACCTTGTCTCTCCATGATGCCAAATAGTTCAGAGCATTTATCAACAAGGCCCTTCTTAAGTAAGCCATCAATAAGTACTTTCCAAGCTAGTTCATCATTATTATACCCACACTGAAGTAAACTATACAACACTGTTTTTGCTTTTTCATTATTTCCTTCGTCGTACAACCCACAAACCAGCAGCTTGCAAGAATCTAAATGTGGTAGAAGTCCATGCTCTATCATGATATCTAACCACTTTATTGCTTTTCCATACGATCCCAACTGACAAGAACAACCAAGAAGAGAGTTGTAACTGTCTTCATTAGGCGATAGTCCTTTTGCTTTCATATGATCATATAACCGGTGGGCTACTTCCAAGCATCCCACCTTGCAAAGACCTGTAATAAACTTGCTATAAGTATTAGCATTAGGTTCACAACCGTGCTTGACCATTTTCTCAAATAAATCCAAAGCAAATTCATAATCCACTTTCCTCCATAAGCTTGCAAAATCATTCGAGGTAACCCCTGATGACAAGTCATTCAACTCCAAACTGCTATCAACTTTTATTGACTTTGAATTTGATAGATGTTTAATTAAATAAGAATATGTGTGAAAAGATGGTTCACAGCCAACATCATACATACGCTTCAGAATGTCAAAAGCACGGCCAATTGATCCAAACTGTCCATATGCATCAATCAATAATGTATAAAGCAGAGTGTCTGGCATTATTCCTTTTTCATTCATTTTATAGATAAAAAGCTCTGCATCTTTTAGTCTACCCTGGCTACAATATGCATGAATAAATGCAGTATATGTAAATACATCAGGACGAGAACCTGTGGAAAGCATTTGATCAAACATATTATGGGCACGGTCAAACTCACCATCTTTTAATAAACTTTCTATAAGAATGGTGTAAGTATCAGCGGTAGGCTTAATGTCCCTCTTTATCATTATTTCCAAAAGTAAAAGAGCTTCTTGAAAATTTTTCTCTCTGCAATATCCATCAATCAAGGAATTATAAGTAATTGAATTCGGTACACATCCATCACCGTGCATCTTATCAAACAACGAATGACCATCAGTGACTTTTCCAACCTTGCAATAACCATCAATCAAAGCGCTATATATTACTTCATTTGCCCTAATGCCTTTCTCCTTTAGAGAGTCAAAGAGAAAACGAGCTTCTTCAACCTGACCTCTTTTACATAGTGTATCTACGAAGACACTGTAGGTCCATTCATCAGGAACCAAACCACTTTCATTCATCAAACCAAGCAGCTTATAAGCACTACCCAGATGACCATCTTTGCACTGTCCATGGATTAATAGGTTGTAGGTAACTACATCTGGTTGCAGCTTTCGCTCAAGCATTTTATGGAGCAGTGACATGGCTTTGTGCACATTCTTTGCCTTGCAAAACCCCAGTATCAATTCATTATAAGTGCGAGCATTTGGACTACAATTATTTGATTCCATTAGGCTCAAAATTTCCAAGGCACTCAAACTCATCCCTTTCTTGCAATATCCATCAATTAAGGCATTATAAGTGACCACACTTGGAACCAATCCTTTCTGAAGCATCCCATTAAGCATGTTCTTGGCATCATCAAAATTGTTATCCTCACATAAACTATGTATAAGGACCGTATAGGTATGTACATTTGGTTCACAACCCTTCTCAGTCATCTCCTTGAACGTATTAAATGCTTCTGATTTCCTGCCCAATTGACACAATGCACATATGATAACTGTGTAAGTACGAACAGTTGGCCAACAATTATCCTCATGCATTTGTGAAAACAATTTTAGAGCTTCATCAGTTCTCTTGGCGTCACAAAACCCGTGAATCAAATTAGTATAAGAAACCTCATTTCTGCGGCAACCTTTATTGGGCATCGACAGAAAAATTCTATATGCACCATCTACATTCTTATTCCTACAATATCCTAATATCAAAGACGTGTAAGTAAATGTATCCAAACTCAAACCAGCTTGCACTATCTTACTGACGTACAACTCTGCTTCAACTACATTACCCAATTTACAGTATCCATTTACCATTGTGTTGAGTGTATATATATTCGGTGTGACCATGTCATCCAACATCTCCAAATACACACTTCTCATTTCATCAACCAAAAGAAACCTGGACAACAACATCAAAAGCATATTATAGCACCTTAGAGTAAGCTTAAATTTGAAATCGTCTCCCCGGCGGTTCATGCTCCGCAGCATTTCCAACACGAACAGCGCATTCTCTGAGGAGTCCGTCGACTTAATCATTAAAATCCTCATCTTTTCAGCAATGCGGAGGTACCCATTGGGAACAAGGATATTCAACATAGACGTATAGGATTGAACATTATGTTTGAATCCATGCTTCTGTCCGATCCAATTGAAAAACGCAAGGGCAGTTTGAGGATCGAGATTGAGGGCGAAAAGCGCAGATATATGGGACGGAGCAATGGAGGGGATTAAATTTTTCAGAGAAGGATGCTTCTGCCAATTGGGGCGGGAGAGAATGGAGAAGAGCTGCGCGGAGATATCATGTTCTACAGGAAGGCTTTGGGGAAGAGAAGCAGTGGATGTGAAGAACTTGAGATTGAGTGTGAATGTGAGTCTGAGCCTGAATCCAAGGACAATGAAGAGCTGACCTGAGTTGATAATGGCGGTAGGGTATCGAATCATCGTGCGGCATCGGACGGCGGTGAGGACTCCATGCATAAATGAAGAGTTTGGCGATGGTGGGAAAAGATTCATGAAGCAATCAATGACCCGCACAGGCCAGATTCAACGATCTCGGAAATCGGTGAACGGAGATTCTGTAATGGTGTTTCGTCGGCGATGGAGTTTCTGCGCGGCGGGGGATTTACCCTTCTCGCCGGTCCAGAAAGAGAAGAAAAAGAGGAGGAATGGAGGAAGAAATTAATTAAAGAAATGGGAAAAAAGGTTAGAAGAAAGGGGTTTTGGAAATTTCTCAAAAGAAAAATGCTAATAAAGGGATTTTGGAAGAAATACCCATTTGGCATCTCAAGTTCTATTGAAATGGACTAAATATATGTTTTTACCACCTTATATTTTGCTTTTCAATAGGTTTTCAAAAGTTTTAATTTGCTATTTTTTAATTATATTATTTTTTTAGATGAATGTTAATTTASGTCGTGTTTGGCTTTGMTTTGGTTTTACCCAAAATATTTCATACTTAAAAAGAATAATTGTCTCTTGTTTATATAAGTAACATTTACTCATTATTCACTAATTAGGAGTGTTAACACCACCAACCGGAACACATGTTTGAAATGATAATGGTGAACAACTCTACTATTACGAAGTCTAAGTAGACATTTGGACTCCAAATTTTGGACTTGGGATATTATTRTTTTCTCTCTGTTGTGTCCATCATTTAGTAATTTGTACCAACATTATAAATGGTGTTATTTTTTTTAACTGATTATTTGTCTTAGAATCACTAGCTCGTCGAATTAAATCTTATTTAATGAATTAATTAACCATTTTATTATGTGAGCGTGAGTATAATTTAAAGATTTAAGAAATTAATAATCTTTTACCGTGCAAGGATTGAATATTTATCTCCATATTTATAATATTATATTCTAAAAAAATTAACAATTATATTTAATTGCTATACTTTTTATTTTTACCAACATAATCTTAGTTAATCAATGTATAGCCAACTGCATTTCATCATTAACTTTCTTTGGCAAACTAACAAAAAAGAATTGGTTTTGTTTTGACATARTTTTAGTTAAATATTAGCTATCTTTGATAACCATTTTGTTTTCTATTTTTTATTTTTAAAATTTCATATTTTTTATTTTTAAATTTTTAGTAAATTTAAAAAATGAGTACACATTTCTGTTTTTCAAAATCTTATTTCTTTTCTTCTAATAYTCAATTTTTTTTCTTTCTCGTATTTCTCTATAATAAATTCCTTTTTCAATCTAATTTTTTCTACCTAATTTTCTCTTCGTACAAAATTGATTTTTCTCCTTCTAAAATTTTAATGTCTAGAATATTTAGTATTATTTTTTCTCCAAAATTTTCATCACTATATATTTTTATTTCTTTTTTCTAATATATAACTCTCATTTTTCTCTCTTTARAATTTCGCCTTTTGTATTGTACTTTTCTCTATCTAAATTTATCTCTTTAACTTAATTTCATTAATTTTTTTCTTTTTTTATTTATTTATTTTTCTCTAACAAATATTTCTCAATTTATTTTGTCTAAAATTTTTCTCAACTATCATTTTTTTTTCTAATCTTCTTTATTTCTCTAATATGTCTTTTGCTCAATTTTAATATATTTCTCTCACATTTTCTCTTCTCTTCTTTAGCTTTTTCCTCACTATTTTTTTTTCTAACTTTCCTTTTCCTAAATCTTTTTATGTATCTCTTCAARTTTACTCTCTCTTAACTTTCTATTTAAAAAGTTTTTTTTTATCCTTCTCAAGTTTTATTTTTCATGTCTATATATTAAGGATGACAAGGATCCTTAAGTATTGGGTACCCACTCCAAAAAGATGAATGTATTTCCCAACCCCGGCATCTTCCCCAATTTTATTTTTAAATAATAAATATATATTTTGTTGACAATGTTTTACTAAATTAAGAATAGTCCTAAAAGAAATACTAAATTAGGTATAAAATATTATATATTGTTTAAAGCTAATTACTTATACTAATAGATACAATTTAAATATATTTATTACTATTTTTTATTTTTTTAATTTAAAAATAATTAAAATTAATCAATAAACTAGTGATTTTTTTAGGTAAGATCTTTAATTTTGTCCCGAAATGAGGATTCCTCGACTTGGACCTCGATTCCAAAATCGAAGAATAAGATAATTTATASTAGGACGAGGTAGGGAGGGCATTTCAAAACACGCCTCATTCCATTTTCATATCTACTTTTGTTTTATCAAAATACATTTAAAGAATAATTTCYCTTACTTGATTAGCATGCTGTAGATTTTAGGGAAGATCATTAATTGATTTTCCTTTACTTTATTTTATTTTTTCTTATCAAAATTAGTTTAAGGAATAATTATTGCCTTACTTGATTAGCAAGTTGGTAATTTAAGGAAATATCTTTTCATTATTTGTTTTATTTTATTTACCTTAGTTTTTAGATTTATTTTTATTTTACAATTTCCTTGAAAAGACCATGGGCCTTAGCCTATAAAGCGTGTTCTCCTTCATTGTAAAATAGTTTAGAATCATTGCCGTGGAAATATCGATTTTCTTTCTGTGGTTGAACTTAGGATCTCATATTTTACCCCTCAGAGCATGCTTGTTTGATTGGTCATCAAAGTCGCGGAGTGTTTCCGACCTCGAGCTATTCTATCTGCTCAATGAGATGACATTAACCATATCTAATAAGTTTTTATTCTTCCTCTCTGCTACACCATTAGATTGAGGTGTATAAGGAGGAGTAACCTGATGAATTACACCATGCAATCTACAAAATTCATTCATTTCTTCTTAACAGTACTCACCTCCCCTATCAGATCTTAAAACTTTTATTTTCTTTTCTAACTGACAGTATTTAGACATGACACTTCAACTTTAGTGCTAAGTAAATAGACATGACAGTATTTAGAGCAATCATCCACAAAAGATACAAAATAACTTTTTCCTCCACGTGTCCAAGTATTATTGCAGTCACAAACATCACTATGAATTAATTCTAGCAACAAGGAATTTCTTTCTATTGATTTAAATGGTTTTCTAGGTTGCTTTGCTTGTACACAAATTTCACATTTATCTTTATWATTTAAAACAGATGTAGGTATTAATTCCATATTCATCATTCTAATTACTGAGCTAAAATTCACGTCTCCAAGTTGACCATGCCAAATATCAGAACATTGAACGTTTGCAACAACATAAGAATAACATGGAGATTTATAATTTTCAAAAGACACTACATTGAGTTTAAACAAATCATCTACCAAATAACCTTGACCAATAAAAGTACCATATTTGCTAAGTACTACTCTATTGGATTCAAAAACAACTTTAAAACCTTATTCTACTAACAAGAAAAGAGTGACTAGACTTTTTGAAATTGAAACAACATGCAAAATATGGTCCAATAAGAGGTCTTTGCCCGAAGATAATTTTAATAAAACTTCTCCTTCTCCTATTGTGAAGGCCTCATTCCCATTTCTCATCTTCACAGATCTGGTACTCGATTCCTAGTATGAATCAAATAGTTTCTTATCAGCACACACATGTAATTTCGGACCAGAGTCAAGCAACCAATCATTTGAGTTGAGAACTAAATTTAACTCGGGATTACTGTTATAATACCCGTTCGATGGGAGAATGGAGTCGGCTTGGTTTGTAATGGCCACATTGGCTTGTAGTTGTGAATGCGACCGGGGTTTTCCACCTTTACGAAGAAAGCAATCTTTCGCCAAGTGGTTGGTCTTGCCACAAACATAACAGGAGCTCCCGATCTTTTCTGAATAATATTCTTACCAATCTCTCTTGAAGCTCTTGGGCTTTGGTTTATAGGATCCATTAATCATAAAGGCTTTTGCTTGACTACCAGAATTGGATATGTCTTTTAGATTTTCACGATGTTTATCCTYAATTCTTAATGACACAATAAATTCATCATAAGAAAAGCTTTTAGGCTCTTRTTTTAAGGTTCTTTGAAAATCTACCCAAGAAAGGGTCAAAACTTTAATAAGAAATGCAACCAGTACAACATTGTCAAACTCAACCCCTTCATTTTTAAATAAAAAAATCATATTTTCAAATTCATGAATTTGGTTGCATACAAATTTTCCATCAACCATTTTGAAATCAAGCCATTTTTCAACTGCATACCTTTTAAAACTTAAATCTTCTTACCCATATTTCTTTTATATAGCTTCCTATAATTCTATGGAATTTTTAGGTGAACAAAATATTTTATAAATACTATCAGACACATCACTCAAAATATTACCATTGACATAAAATATCTTTTTCTTCAAGACWCTTATCGACTCTAGTTTTACTACTAGAGTCAGAGTCACTAGTTTTGGAGGTTTCACAGACTTCTTTAGAGGTTTCACGTATTTTTTCTTTCCCTTTTTCACAAGCAGAGATGACAAATAAAAGACCAAAAGTTGTGAGCCAAATTTTCATCTGTTGTTGCCAACATTTGTAATTTTTTCCGGTAAATTTTGCAGGTTTACAGGAATATTTAGATTCATGAGATTGTTAGAAAAATATAAACAGAACTAAACTCAATGAAACAAGAATTCTATTTTAACACACAACCACAACAATAAACCAATGAATAAATAATATTAATCAGAAAACAAAGCGTTTTAGAAAGCCTGTGTATGGGTTGAGGCACGTTGACGAACGCTGTCCTTAGAGAAGACGTGCCCTCACTTGCACTGAGTTGTTCGATATTCTACTCCCAGGATACAACATCATCCAAGAGACCTTGTGTGTAGCTAAGCTCTCWCACGAATCCCACTTAACTTGTATGCTCATAAAAAGACAAAGGGAAATGTTTTAGGAGAAGAAGATGTGAAGTTTTTTGTGTGTTTTCTTCCCCTATACAACCTCTCTTATATAGCATTTGAGGGGACTAAAATAGGTTTAACCTTTGCTAACTCACTCCTTGGCACGAGGGAAAGACCAAACTAATTTTCTATTAAAAGAGTAACCAATTTAGTCAAACTTTAGAAAATCTTTCAATTTTTCCGACACCCACTAATTTCATCATCCATAAATGCCCAGTTATCGAGAATATTGACAATTGTCCATATATTAAAAAGTCTCAAGTTAATCAAATCTATACTACAATATTTTCATTATATACATGTAATTACACCTTCACTATTCAAATTCATTTATTAAGTTTGTTTAAGTCTTGTTAATTACATGCAATGCTGCACATAAAATGCCTAATAACTGTAATTCTAAATCGATTTAAAAAAAWCGTGTAGCAATTT